TCCAGCCCAGCATATCCAGTCCATCCTGGATCAGAGCCTTCTATCCATGCAAAAATGGAGTTCCAATCCTCTTTCAATCTTTCTAGCGTTGATATGTATGTTTATAGTTGTGTAAAGGGCAATTCTGCCTAAAAACAGCTCAATTCCTATTAACTATTCTGGCCAGAACAACCATTTTTATACTGAGATAAATTATGAAAGTCATCACCAGACTGAGGCATGAAAAGAACTTACTTGGGAGATATTCATCACCCAAATTCACAATCGTTTGTTTTTTTTTTTTAGAAATCAGTAACTTGGGACGCAAGTTATCTACTCTAGAAGAAGTCTGGTAGAATTTTCATTGCTAGTAGGGCACGCTCATACATTAAAGAAAATTAACTTGTTGACCAGTCAATGGTTTTCAAGGTAGTGGGGAACTTTGCCCTTCCATCTCAGGAGTAAAACGCAAAACGGGGTGAACACCTTGTTGGTGGACATGTCTAAGAGTTTGGTGAAACCCAGAGATATTTTGGTCACCATTAATGTTTGTATCATATCTGACCCCCTCACTCACGTCATAACACGTGGAATGTGAACGACGTTAAACGACTTGCTCGGTGAGCCATGCTGATACTATCAATCGGCACACATCACTGATTGATACACGGTCATCGAAATTAGCAAGTGTTACTGACCGACTCACCGACACCAATCTTCGGCATTTTTTGCTGATCGAGGAATCACCACATCCAGTTGATTCTAATAGATAACCTCGGAACTCCCACCAGAACCTGTCAGAGCACGTGTCGACCGTCGAAGACACTCCTACGAGTCCCACATCGAAACTAAGTACTAAAAGCATAGCAAATGCTCTTTATAAATAGAGCCCCTTGGCCCAGTCAAGAGGTAAGGTAGTTTTTACTTGACTTGTGCTTTCACACTGTCAAAAGAATTACTCTTAGTCTCTAACTTTGGTATCAAAGGGTCTTCGGCCAGCACCACACCGGTGTCCCAGACCTCACTTGCCGTTTCTTTCTCTGGGCTGAATCCAGCACTACGCCTTAAGAAAGGAAGACAAGGACCAAAGGCTCCTCAATTCCAAACCCCCCACTCCACCTGTAAGTTAGCTCTACTTCTATCTGATTAGTTTTAGCGCAAACAATTAAAGATAGAGATGCAATGAATGTTTCAACTATGAAGACAATATACAATGCTAGGATCCGAAATATAACCAAAGAATTTGCTGGGAGAACTCAAATGCAACAATTACTTACTAAGTTATCCGAACACAATTATATTGGGACATCTGGTGATATTGTAACTGACCTGTTTTGGACACCCCATTAATATTGATATTTTGCGTGCATTTCCACATGTACTTGGGTGACATATACTAATATGACATTCTTTGTTGTGTATGTATATATGAATGCCAAGAAGGAAGACAATTACACATGGACATTGACTGCATTGAGGAGTTTGTTAGATGATAATTGTCTTCCTGGTGTTGTTGTCATCGATCGAGAGTTAGCACTCATGAATTCTATTATGTCTATATTTCTGAAAGCACAACATTTATTATGTAGATGACATATTAACAAAGGAGTGTTGGCAAACTGCAAGAAGTTATTTGGGACCCCCAAACAATGGAAGCCATTTAATGAGGATTGGAATACTTTGGTTGGTTAAAAAATGGAGGAGAAATATTGGCGTTGTTTGCGACATATTGAGTCTAAGTTCAGGGAATTTCAAAAAGCTCTTGAATACATACATGAAAATTGGTTAAATCCATTTAAGGTTAAGTTTGTGGCCGCATGGATAGACACTTGTATGCATCTTGGATCGACGACCTCAAATAGGTAAGTATTTTAAGTCGACTTTTGATATGTTAATTTGAGAATTTATTTTGCTTCAAGAAAATTTATTATTGTTATCAATAGAGCAGAAAGTGCACATGCAATGAAGCGACAACTCCGCTTAAGCCAACTTAACTTTGAGAGATCATGGGTAACTATACACTCATTTTTAGAGCTGGAGCACACAAAGATTAAGGCATCTTTTGGAAAGAGTCGATCTTTTATTCAACATAGGTTCAGACATCTGGAGTTGAGAGAGTTATTAGGTTTTGTTTCTATAAAGGCTTTGAGTGTAATTGTGTGCGAGTCAGAAAGGTAAATTCAGTTTACTTATTACATGTACATATATGGTTTACAGAGTTAACATTGTAATTTTTTTGCAATCAGGTTAGAGACAGGCGGGGTGGATGCTTTATCATGTAGTTGTGCAATTCGTCGAACCCACCAATTACCATGTGCACATGAAATTGCGGAGTATAGAGAGCGTGGTGTACCAATACCACTTGATGTCGTGCATTCACATTGGTGGAAATTAGATCTCATCAATATAGGAAACAGTAGTCATGACACAACTTCACTAGGAAGGTCACAACTACAAAGATTCAATATTTGGTATGAACAACAAGATGATGAAAATAAGAGACAAGTCCGCATGACACTGGAGGAGCTAATGAACCCTGGTTCTACTGCGCTTACTGAACCCTGTCTATTAGGTCAGGATGATGAAGCCTCAGTAGTACCTCTGGGAGTCCTCTTCATATCTAAAAACAAACAATATTAAGTACACACTCAGTAACGTATTCGGTAGATGATCACTGAAAAACGGAAATAAATTCGGTGGACTATCACTGAAAAAGAACACATATTCGGTGGAGTACCACTGAAAAACCGAAATAAATTCGGTGGGAGTCTCTTAAAAAATAGAAACAGATTTGGTGGACTACCATTGAAACAAGATAACAACTTCGGTGGTAACCCATTGAAAGTAAAATAAATTTTCGTACAACTCAGGTTCAAATTCAGTGGACTACCACTGAAGAAATATAACCATTTCGGTGGTAATCCACCGAAACTAGAATCCAGTTTCGTAAAACCAGGTTCGAACCATATACAACATTGAAATCAAAATCAAAATCAGAATCAGACTTTGGCTTTTCAAAAGTAAAATCAAACGTAGGCTTAATCAACACTTAGAAACATAAATATAGAAATCAAATTTGAAGTCAAACCTTGGCTCTTCGAAGGATTTGGGTTCGGGTTTGCAGAGATGGAGATGGGTTGTGCAATGGGGTTCGGTGGTTTGCAGAGATGAGTTTGGATTTGCTGGGTTGTGCGATGGGGTTCGGTGGTTTGCAGAGATCAGGGTCCGGTGGTGAGCAGAGATGGGTTCTGCGATGGCAAAGGGATGGAGTGTGTGGTTAAGGTTGTTGTAAATTTGATGGGGTGTGCGATATGGTGTGTCTGCAAGAGGAGGAAATTTTCGATGGGGTGGGGCTTGATATCAGATAAGGTGGGGTTTGATTTCAGATAGGGTGTGTTTGAAAGGGAAGGGGGTTTTCGGTGGGTGGTGTCTGATATGGGATGATGTTTACACAGGAGTTAATGAATGAGGTTCATGAGGGCAATTTGGAAAAAAAAAAAAGGGGGGTATAATAAGTAATTTGAAATTTTATTAAAATTTAGCGGGGTGTAAAAAATTATGGGGTGTAAAAAGCAATTAATGGGGTTCATGTAGAATTTCCCTTTAATTTAAGGACAGCAACAACTATTTTTGGAGATTATGGACGAAAATGTAACTTGGAGTGTAGTTCAGAGACCATTACTACAATTTATCCATTATATTATGCCTATTGCTTTTCAAGTAGGCAACATATCTATTTAGAGGGAATAATAAATTTTGCATACTTAAATACCTATTTTCTTGAAGAAGGAAAATGCTTACGTGACTATCAAATCCTGTGCAGACTCGGAGACTCCCTTAGATATGTCCACAGAGCAAATAATATTTTCTTGCACCGGATGCAGACTGTCATCACTCTCCTGCTATGCTCTCACACGTCCTTTACGCGTTTTGAAATTTAATCTTCTAGTTTGGGAAAAGATTCTAAGTTGAACAGGTATTAAAGATCGTGCAGACAGTGTTTCCGCGGGACCCATGTTCCCCATGGCTACTAAACAACAAAAAAGGGGTACAATTCTCTGCGAGAGTTCGCCCTATGATTCTATGGGGGAGAGTTTAGATTTCCCTTTTACCTTCCTTTCTCTCCCAGGTGACTAGATAGATATTACTTCTTAGCATCACTTGTTAAATTTCAGAGAGAGAGGGCCAGCTTTTCACTATTTACAATACCGATATTATCTTTAATTTAATCACTTACAAAATCTAATAAGTATGTATGTGAGATTTTATCACAAAATACCTTGGAATTATTAGGAGTAGAACTATTTATTATGAGTTGTAATTTATTAAGTCAAGTTTCTGATATAGAACTTTATATTCTTCAACATCGTTCTCACCTAATGATTCTATGCATTTCTGACTAAATTTGTAATTTTCCTTTTAAGTCTTACCCTAAAACACACTTGCTGTTGCTGATCATCAAGAAAAGCTAAAATATTTGCTTAGCTATTTTTTTGTCTGATTCTGTTGCCTTTAGTTGAAAGGAACCACTAAGTTTGATGAATCCAGTTGAGATCATGCATGGCCAATTCTATAAAATAAAAAAGTTGACATCATTGATTGGGTGCGGTACAAAAGAAAAAGAAAAAAAGCTGGGGGCCTATGTGATAAATAGAAAAATTTGTGTAAAATGGGATATCAAAATACTCTTTTCCGCTGGACCGACCTTCTTCAACACTTTACAAATGAAAAATGCTAGGCTTACCACATTTTTCATACCATAAATGTACCACCTCTTTAATAGAGGTGAGCCCGTGGGCTCCACCTCTATTAAAGAGGTGGTACAATTGTAGTATGAAAAATGTGGTAAGCCTAGCATTACTCTTTACAAATTGCAGTAGGGCTAGGGAGGAAGGAGGAAACGAAAGGAGAAAAATGACTCCCCTTGTCCTCAAAACTTTCTCTCTCTATAAATCTGTGAGACGTGCCAGCATGTCATGATTCATATCAACATATGACATAAATTTCAAATGTTCCCCATTTATTGTTATCTTTTTCACACTGTAACCATTATTGCATATCTACTGCATAAACCCTAACTAAAATACTAGAACTGAAATTCAAATAAAATGTAAAGTCCAATAGAAAAAGGGATTTCTATAAACAGGGCATGGGGAGATGAGAATGGCACACAGTCCAAATTAAAATAAAATCTCTCTCATGAGACAGACTTAGACGACTCATGTGACTGACTGCCTGCCTGCCATTTGCGCCACCTGACCAATGTCTCGTCCTCCTCCTCCTCCGCATTCCTCCTCCTCCTTGCTGCTTGTTTTGTTGGTGTGGGCAGCCGCCGCCACTTCTAGTACTAGTAGTGGTGAAGGATCTTTGGGTGTGGGGAAAGTAGATCCAACCCTCAAGTTTGAGAACCCGAGGCTTCGCCAAGCCTACATTGCCCTCCAAGCTTGGAAGGCCGCTATCTTCTCGGACCCATTCAACTTCACCTCCAGCTGGAATGGCTCGGACGTGTGCTCCTACATGGGCGTATTCTGTGCCCCTAAGTCCACCGGTGCACATGGCCGTGTGGTCGCCGGCATTGACCTCAACCATGCTGACATTGCTGGCTATCTGCCTCCAGAGCTAGGTCTCCTCTCAGACCTGGCGCTCTTCCACCTCAACTCCAACCGCTTCTGCGGCGTCGTCCCTAGCAGTTTGCGGCGCATGAAGCTGCTCCATGAGCTCGACCTCAGCAACAACCGCTTTGTGGGAGACTTCCCCAAAGTAGTGTTCTCCTTGCCTTCCCTCAAGTACTTGGATCTCCGATTCAACGAGTTCGAAGGCTCCGTTCCCTCCCAGCTATTCGACAAGGATCTGGATGCCCTTTTCCTCAACGACAACAGGTTCCAATTTGGCATCCCTCCCAATCTCGGCAACTCTCCCGTTTCGGTTCTGGTGTTGGCCAACAACAATCTCGGGGGTTGCATTCCTGGTAGCATTGGTAACATGGCCAAGACGCTCAACGAGATCATCCTCTTGAATGACAATCTCACCGGCTGCTTGCCTTCCCAGATCGGCCTCCTCACCAATCTCACGGTGTTTGATGTCAGCTTCAACCGACTTCAAGGACCCCTTCCCCCCACCATCGGCAAAAACATGAAGAGCTTGGAGCAGCTGGACGTGGCCCGCAACAGACTCACGGGTGTCATCCCAGCCAGTATTTGCCAGCTACCTCGTCTGCACAACTTCACCTATTCCTTCAACTATTTCACCGGAGAGGCTCCTGCTTGTGCTGCTACTGCTGCTAACAAAAATAATATCAATGGTCGGAAGAACTGCATTCGCGGGAAGTTGGATCAGAGATCTGCAAGGGAATGTGCTTCGCCAGCTGCACGTCCCGTGGACTGCCGCAAGCTCCAATGCAGCAGCACTACTAGTCCTGGAGGCCGGGGGGGCAGCGGCGGGGGTTCTAAGAGAAGGCCTCCTCGGGTTTCAACACCCCCACCCCCGACTTCAGAGTCATCACCTTCCACTAGATCACATCCTCCACCACCATCAAACCCTTCTTCTTCTTCTTCTCCGCCTCTAGTGCCTAATAGAGCACCTCCTCCTTCCAATTCTAATTCCCATTCCCATTCCCCTACAAAGCTTCCGCCACCTACTCAAAGAGTTTCACCCAGGACGCATCTTCCACCTTCTCCCCCTCCATCTAGTAGTCATCATCATTGGACTTCGACACCACCACCCCCACCTACCCAAAATGTGTCACCAACTACTCATCTAAGACCACCTCCGCCGCCGCTGCCCACGCACTACAACTCCTCTTCTTCCCCACCACCACCAGTACTTTACCATGCTTCCCCACCTGATCACTCTAAACATGATCTCGTGCCGCCATCACCTCCAAATCATTACTCGTATGCTTCACCACCACCACCACCGCAACACTCGGCCCCGTCACCTCCACAGCACTCAGCCCATGTCCCACCTGCTCCGAGCTATCATATTTACACAAGTCCACCACCTCCACCTCCACCTTCATCACCATCTTCACCGCCACCACCACCATCGCCACCTCCACCTCCACCAACACATGAGCAGGATACAAAAGCACCACCTCCTTCCCCCGCACATGAGCATTATCCATCAAAAGCTCCACCACCACCCGCAAGTACAGGTGGAAGTCCCCCACATGATACGCCATCAGCCCCTTCCCCAAGTGAGCCATCTCATCCCTTACCTCCACTGCCGCCCACCGGTTGTGTGATGCCTGCATCATCACCACCACCACCAAGCCATCATACCTTGCCATCACCCACATTTCAATTTGTACCCCCACCTTCATCAAGGCATCACCACTCACCTCCCGAACAACAGCATTGGCATCAACCACCACCATCATCGCATCAACAGTTTCCTCCCTCATCCCCATTCGATAGCACACCGCTTCCACCAGTTATAGGAGTGTCATATGCGTCTCCTCCTCCCCCTGTAGTTCCCTACTACTAATTCAATAATTTCTAGCGTATGTTTAAGAAGAATCACAATTCTTTTGCTGCGAATGAGTAGACAATAACCCCGCATATATACAGTAGCAAGGATCAGTTCCGTATCTTTCGTGTGCGAATGTTGTTCTTCTCGTTTTTAAGATGCAGTTTATCCTCTTAAGGGGTTGCTACCGTTGGTTCAATTTATAGCAATAATAGTTTCATTGCTGCTTGCCTATTCCTATCCATTTGTATTCTCATAACTTTATTTCATTCTCCGATACAGCCAAGCGGATGGATTTTCATTATGAATTAAAGTTTATTTTGTCACACACTATTGCTATGTATGTCTTGGTATCAATTAGCAAACTCAAAACGGTTTTAATTCTATGATATGTTTACTTACCTTAGAACGGAAGGTAATGGGTATTGTAAATATACATATTTCTCATTTCCATGCATCTACTAACATGTCGATATCGAAATTATTTCGACCCCTAATTTACCCCACGGTTACAATGACATATGGAATAATAAAAAAACTGTGAACTCTGCATTAAAATCCATAATCCAATACCTTAAAACCACGAATTAGATTGATTGATGGGAGAGTAATTGATCCCATGTTCACCCAATTCATGACTTCTAATTCCAAGTAAGAAAACATGACATTAGTTGGCACTGCCGAAATTAAAAATGCACCAGCTTGTCCAAAGTCTCTCCCATGTGAGCTTCTCTTAATAACCCTAATAATGACAGTACTAACTTGAAAAATAATAGTAATTATGACATGAAAAGCAATTGCATATGTTACATGGAAGCTACAATGTGATCTTATTTATGTCAACAGTATTGTGCCCAATAACTAGAGTACTGCACCCATTACCTGTACTTCAGCCCCAGTGAACTTCTGTATATGTGCACCTATATAAAGGGGTGGCACGAGGATTAAACTAAGTGAAAAATCTATTTCCTGGGTAACCAAAAAACAAAAACCATCACAAGACTCAATTAACACGACTTTCATCACAATGAAGGCCACAAGACATAATCTATGAAGGACAACCACAAACGGTATCATCCAAAACGGATCACAATGCATGATATATCATCTTTACTCTTTCTTGCCAGTGCTTCAGTTGTTAGACGCTTTGCCGCTACTTGTGGATCTTTTATGGGTTTCACCAAATCTACTGCCTCTTGATTCTTCATAACCTGCCAACCAAAGCATACCACATATTGAACTACAAGGGAGTATCAAAAGAAAGAATCTTTGTCCCATTACAAGTCCAAACCATATCCAAAAGGATTGGGAACACATCTTGCATCCCCTGGCAAGGAGAAGCAAGTTCTTACCACACAAGGCAACAACCTCTTATTAGACTCAAACCACTACAACAAGACCACTGGCTCATATGTATAATTTCTGTTAGTGATAGAAAGTTACCAATATACCCATGACTCCTTAAACTAACAGCACCCAAATACAATAAAAAATAGCACTATTGTAAAGGAAAGTCTTAATGACCCTCATGTTAAGGTCGAACAGTAATGTTGTTGCAAATGTAACTCAGCCATTGATTTCTGAAAGACAAATTGTTCGCTAACCAAAATATCGCTAGGGCCAATTTTTGGATATATCACATTCAGAAAATTTTACAAGATTAATTACTAAAGCATCCAAATTTTGGGAATTCCCAAATATTCTTCAAATTTCATAGTTACAAAATATTCATATGCTTTTTTTTTTGTTTATTGTTTATTCATATTTTTATTGAGCACTCATACGATTACAAAGAATTGATAAAAAATTCCATCCTCTGACCAAAAGTGACAGACACTGCTGTCATAACAGGAAAGTAAAGTTCATCTTACTAGAAACAAGAAACTAAGAAAAAGGGAAACAAACCCTAAGCATTCTGCATCAGTTTGTGGGATAATCCAGGTATTATCCTGGCAGCACCAGACTTAAGGTCTCAAGGGTTGTTTTGAAAGGTTATGTTCGGCTATAGGTAACCTGAGAGAGAGATCACTACGTATGCATGACTCACAATGGAGTTTCTAAAACCCCTAAACCCCTGTTCCACAACTTCTCTCCTTGGTAGTGTATTTTCCTTTCTCCAGTTTGCCTTATGGATCTCATCCAATCTTTGCTGGAGCCACCCAACTTCCATATTTACCTTTTGGAGATCACCTTTGTTTCTCCGATACTCCAAAAATCCACACATGTTTGTATCGGATACTCAAATACCCCCTCGATACTTCTTGGATATGTGTCCGATAATTCAAATCCGTATCCATTGACTTTTAGATATCCGTATCAATCAACACACGTATCCTACATAATGATTAATTGCAATTTTGTCAAAAGAAGTTGGGTTTATTGTAATATTAAGAACTTAGTCAATATAGGGGATCCTAAGTTTGAATTCCTGAAAATACAACCTCCCAAAATTAAGTTGAACTGCACATGTTGGGCTCTAATGGAGGAGAGAGTGTTTATAATATGAAATAATTGTCTGCCCACATCAGAATAGACTAAGTGTTTGGGAATGATGGTAAACCAACAAACTTTATCCATATCAACTAATTTCAACCATTCAAGCAAACACAAATCCAATGAAACAGAGGCTTTGGCTAATTCTTACCCTTCTCACTCTGAAAATTTATAGCATTATTATAGGGACTTTAAATGCCAAAGGTGTTTTTTTTTTTTCCTTGGTTACATGGGGAGGAAAGAAACCCTTAGGTTTCGAGCGGGTGCCAAGCAGGGGGGAAGGGGAGGGCCACAACTACTGTGGTAATCCCGCATTGGTAATGCCTAAGGTGTTTTGATACTACATGGTAATGGCATTATGTCTTTGCAAACAACACCTTGCTGTTGCATCTTAGACAGTTCTAACTTATTTTTATAGAAAGAAAACAGAAAAATAACATTAAAAACTGCTGTATCCCAGTCCCATTCAGCAAGGACAATCTTTCAAATCCTCAATATGTGACACCTACAAGGATGCCTAAAATCTAACCATATTCCATAAAAAAATCCACCCCCTCCCCACTTTTTACCTCCACAGATGCTGCTATTTCGCTCCAACTAGACCACTCAAAAAAATAGTCAAAACTCTACAATCTCATGAAACCTTTGCATCGTTCCCTCCACCAAAAGAGCAAAAGGTCCCAATAGATAGTAATGTACATGCACGGAGGAACCACTCAACACAATTTTGCTTCACAGAAAAGCTTGAATCATTAATTCAAAGCTATAGGAAAATCAAGAAAAGGTTATGCATTTTATTTACATACGTTATAAATGAAAAATTCTGCCTATCTTTTGCCTAGTGCTAATAAGTTAATTACACATTTTCCATGTTTACTACAAATTCAATTCATTTTTTCACTGAAGCTTTTTCCTCTCTTTTACTGAGCAATTAATAATCTAGCACCGAGTCAATATAATCACTATTACCAAAAAAGATTATTAGACACACTATTTGGCACATAGTAAGGAAAAATTATAAGATGAGTAAGAGTCACAGGGTCTCATTTATAAGATAATCTCATTTCACATGCAATTGAAAAGTGGAAAAAATGCTAATCAAAATACAAATATTCTACATTCAATTTTTTTTCAATAGAATCCAAAAAATTTAAGCCTAAACATTCCATTATCTTGCTAAATTGTCAAATATATGATCTAGGCCATAAAGATATGATAGAGAGGGAAAGAAGGCCATTTATTAATTACCAACTGACCTTCCATAATCCATCACTTGCTAATATAACAAATTCAATAGTGGAGCCTACGGGCACATGTCTTACATCAGGCTCTGAACTCAAATGTGCTTTAAGGCTTTGATCCCCAAAAGCACGTGCAACTGCAAGTTGACCATTAACTCTAGGTACATCTCCTGAAAGAGTATTAGAATATTAATCTAAGTAAAGAAAAAAAAATATAATTATATACTAAAGAGCGAAAGAAAAATTATAAAAGTGGTAAGAAATTAAGAATCCCACTATCAATTATATACTGATATATAAACAAGCTCGGTAATAGGGTTAAATGAATTAAATTAAATATCTTTACCCGGAAGAGTAGTCACAAAACCACCCTGTTTCTCAATCCTTCTTCGCTCACTGTGTGGCTCATGGTCCACAGTAAGTTGGGTTGCAGAACCCCTCTCACACACAACAGCTCTTGAGTCACCAATATTTGCCACCCATAAGTCTTTGCCATCAATGACTATTGCAGTTACTGCAGTCGACCCACCTGGCCCTAATTGTATGGAATTATCTAAAATAAACTTATCTGTGGAGCAGTAAGCGTTCCTTATTGCTGTCTCGGGGTCTTTCCAGAAACTCGGCTGTATCATATACATAAAAGAAAAAAAAAACAAATTGACCAAATAAAGTGATTTGAGAGCATCAACAGTTACAGCTTTCAATACAAATGTACTGACCAGATAAGGAAAGAACTACGGAGTCTTGTAATTGACTTAATATAAGTAGTCTTTGGGCAACGAGAAACCTAAAGTTGGTATGAATATTTGAGTACAAATATTGCATGGACAAGGACAGAGAATGGGCTAAATCCTATCTTGGTTACAATTCAGATTACAATTTCAGTTCAAATAAAGAAATCATGATTGAATGGGGAAGATAACCAACTAAGTATGCAACCGGTGATGACAATCTTAATACTACCGTAAGCATTATAGTTGAAAAACAAAAACAACAGAAAGATAAATCAAATTAGTAGGAAAGCAGCAAAACTCTCTCTTTTTCTTTTGTCTGTTATTTGTGTACGTACACAAGAATATGGAAAGGGTGGGAAGGTATACCTCTTCAATTATGTTGTTGAAAAGGTTTTCTTTCAAATAAGTAGGGACGCGATCGCCTAAATGACCGTCGAAGATAGCAAACAATCCAAGGACGTGGTTTTTTCTTTTTCTGTACTCAGCAACATGGTAGTCCTCCATATCATGACCAGATTTTCCTTGGACTAAATGGAACCCATGGGCCACTCTGATAGAAGAGGACTTGCTTCTCCCTTTTCCTGAGTCTGAAGACGACGAATTAAGGCATGTAGCATTCTGCAAGGCCAATTAAACAAATTATGATGATAAGTCTAAATTGATCACAGTAATACCAAACTAATGGGGGCTTTCTACTTCTCGCTCGGCATGGTTGATTAGCTCTCAATCTTTTAGGAATCAGGATGGTGGAAATGTCTGTGGATATGGGATTTGTATGTACAATAGTTATAGCCCATAGTATGAATAAACAATAGTTATAGAATTAAGGCATGTAGCATTCTGCAAGCCAAATTGGACAGAAGGGGAGCTTAGGGCTTAGCATAGATTGCAATTGTAAAACCCTAGTAATTAATAAACGCACTCCAGGGCAGGGTATGGATAAGCCAGCAGCTGTAATTAAAATTGAATTCAAGGAGACAAAGAATTCTAAGTTAAAGTGAAGTTGAGATCGAAAGTAAACATCCAGAAGTAGTTGTACGTAAAATAATAGAAACAATTCTCAGCAATCAAAAATCAAGGAGAGAGAGAGAGAGAGAGACCTTTATCTTGTCAAGGAAGCTGGTTCCTCTAGTGATGTGGGAAGCTGAAGCTTCTGTTTCTTCTGACTTCTTACTCATTTCTCAGACAATCATAGAAAGATAAGAGGTTCTTGCTTCTATATCACAACAGATTTCTCAGAGAGGAGTCAATCGATATTGGATTGTTCACGAAATTCAGGAACTGATTACTAATTGCTACTTTTCCCTTGGAAGACGAAGAAGAAGAATACGATGGACAACTGTTGTGAGTACGAATAAGTGACACAAGCACACGCGTATTTGGAATTTTCTAAATATTTCACAATACTACCCTGTCTGACTTGAGAAGGCGTTGAAATTAAATGAAGAGCTGAATGTAGTAGAAGATATTGACCTATTCTCCGCGTGGGCTCCACATCAAACCGAATCCACCCACAACCCTTCAGTTTTTGTTTTGCACCCGGGCCTGCTGGTTGCTGCTCTTGCTCTGCTTGTGCCTCTGCTTCTTCCCGACAATCTCTCAACTGAATATTTGAATGGATTTTCAGCTGTTTTATCCCCAACTATGATCTTAATCGAATTTAACTCTCTGAACTAAAAAGTCGGCTAATTTAGTATTTAAATTTATTAAAACAGCCAATTTAGTCTATACCGTTAATTTTTTGAATTTCATCCATTTTTCTGTCCAAAAAGTCACATGTCTTTTAGGTGACTTACTATTTAATTTAGGCTTATTTACTGTTTCACCCCTTGAAACGAACAGTCTCACTTTAGCTCTTTAAACTGACATTTCTTACTTAATCCCCTGAATCTCTAAAAATTGCTAAAATTTTCTCACTTTACCACTTCCGTCCATTTCCATCTACAAAATCATTAAGTGTGCTGATGTGGCGTGGACATTCTAGTAATTTTAGCTCCTTATCTTCTCTCTTCTCTCTGCCTCTCTCCCATCCCGAAACCTAACCTCCATCGCACCCCAACCCCACCCCTTCCTCCCTCTTATCTCTTCTCTTTTCTCTCTGTCTCTTTCTCCTCTCTACCTTGCTCTCCTCTCCCCTCAACTCCTTAGACCCAACCCCTAGCGCATCTCCAATGCATCTAAACCCCTCCCCTCACTCTACATCTCTCCTCTCACCTCCATCGCACCCCACCACTTCCCTCCTCTTATATATATAGAAGAGAGAGAGAGAGAGATTATGGGGAGTGGCATTTTTTTTAAATTTTTTTTAAAGTGGTGGTGACTTGGGTGTGTTGAGTAATTCCATGAAGGGTTCGGTTTGGGGTGGGGGTTGGGTATGGCAAGGGGAGGGGAGAGGAGAGGTAGTGAGCAGAAAGAGGCATAGAGAAGAGAGAAGAGTGGAGAGGGAGAAAGGGGAAGGGGTGGGGGTGGGGTGCAATGGAGGTTGGGTTCGAGAGGGGAGAGAAGAGAAGGAGCTAAAATTACTAAGATGCCCATGCCACGTGAGCATATTTAACTATTTTATGGATGGAAATAGACGGAAGTGGTAAACTGAGAAAATTTCAGCAATTTTAGAGATTCAGAGGATTAAATGAGAAAATTTTAATTTAAGGGAATAAAGTGAAATCGAATGTTTGTTCAATAAATAAGCCTTTAATTGATTATCATTATTATTAATAAAAACTAAAATATTTAGAATAAAAAGAAGAAAAAATAAGGGAGCTTTCGTTTTAGAACACTACATTGTTTACACATTCGAAGTGGAGCATAAATTTTTTTTTTTTTGAAAAAAAGAAAAAATACAAACAATGGTTTAAACTAGATTTCTCTCACATGCACTATAAGTGCCATGAGAATTTGAACCAAAGAACAATGTCAAGACCCTTTTTCACTATGTTAGACCTGGTAGGTGTAGCATAAAAAGATTTTAATTTTTGAACTTGAGTCTTTTTGCTACACAATGAATAACCAAGGGATATCAAAGATTGGTTGCTCATGAATCGCTTTTCCGTGTATTTTTTTTCTTTTTTCTTTTCTCATTTCTATAATTTTCAATTTCATATGACAATGGAATCAATGCCGTAAAACCCTGTGCACCTCACATCCAAGGACGAAAGATTGACATGCTATATACAGTCTCTTGTTGCCTAAGAGAGCATATGCAAATGAAATTCAAGATACAATCGGACATCAAAATCCAGCCCAAAAAACTTTAAAAACCAATGAATATAGGGACCAGCAATCCGGAAGCTTCAAACTTCATTCACCTGGCGAGAAATTTATCATGTGTCAGATACTGCAAAAACCATGTATGTGCACGTGTGCAGAGAGAAATAATTAACAACACAAGAGCAGTACTTGTTCAATACAGTTGGAACAACACATCAAAAGAGAAAATTAATGTCTTTAAACTATGGCAGAGGTAAGTTGCGCTCTTTCAGAAAGATCACAATTCTGATAATTGGAATTTAGCTAAAAGCAAGCATACTCTTGATGAATAGATGATTTAACCCATCTAACACAATAATGAGCTAACACATTATTTACTTTCTCAATTTCATTAAGGGCATATGCTACCTCCATCTCCTACCTTTTTGGTGGAAAGGTTCACCTACTAAAATCCTTTATGTTGCCCAGCCACAACCCAAAAATTTACCATTTTACCTTTCTCCTGAGATATTTAGACATAGCATGGTTATGAGTGTAAGAACTCACCTCATATCGTTTTCACATTGGAGAACAAGGAAAATATGAAGGGCTTGAACACGAAACCACCAATCAATTAGAATCATAAAAGGTATGAAAGCCAGCTACGCCATCTTTAATGCCTGCTTTAATTGTGAAAATGCTGAGGGATGCATGCATCCAATGGCCTTATTAAAAGATTCTCCATGAAGGGTAGCACATGTTTGAAGATTTTCCCTCACTGAAGCGTCTAGAGACATTTGGTTGATAGGGTCTGAAAACTTGAGCTATAGTGGGATATAATAACTTCATCAGGAAAATATTACCTCATGAATTTATTTAACCAGCGACTACAGCAATCACAGTAATATCAGAAGAGTGCCATGGACCACAAAGGAGAAGAAGGAAGGGTGGTTCACCTGTCTTCTTCTGAATTCTTTACTCGGAATGGTGCCCTTACTAAGGGATCCGCTGGAGGTTATATTATCACCACTGTTGTTGATTGGGAAAAATTTATGAGAAGTATAGTTGTTTGATATGGGCAAGCAAATCAAAGTAGAATCACAAGGGATCTAACCTTGACTCCTCTGTTAAGTCATCATTGGCACCCAAAATTACAGTTGTACACACACTGCATGTATAAATAAGCAACATTTTATAAAGATCATCCAACAAACAGAAAAGAGATGATTGACCGAATTCATGGTGAAACTCATACCTCAGGATCTGATCAAGTTTGTTGAGGACTTGAGGAAGTCTTAATGTCAGAATTATAGAAAGAGCTAAGCCATACGTCTTCCTTTGGATGGAAGATACATTGTCTGCCTGTGACCAAATTTTTTTTTTTTTGACAACCACACCAGAAAGGCAATAAGAAATTAATTTACAGAAAATCCTACTCATTCCCATTTATTCATTTTCCATAAGAACATCTTTAATTCTTCACTTCAACATGTATAGAGCACAAGAACTTTTCTCCATTTACTATCTGTGTATCGTACTACAAAGAAAGATGATGATAATTATTCTCCTGCACATTTGTGCCAACAGTGCAAGGTGTTGTGTTTATTTTTCAAATGGATAAACTATCCGTGGTAGTTCAACTCTACAATAAGAAAGATAGTGACACCAAAAAGGGCCAAAACAACGATACCTGGAGTGAGCTATGCTATGCTGGAGTGAGCTTTGCTATGCTCTCCGGCATAGCACATTATCTCTTATTAGGGTTGCCTTGGCACTATAAACATATTTTTGACCACATACATTACAACAATCATATATTTAACAAAGATGCGTTAAATGTACAATTTATTATGAATGTAGAATTTAACATTATATTACAAAATACAGAAAAATAAATGGCCTGTTTGGTAACCTTTTTCGTTTTTAGGTTTCATTTTTTATTGTTAGATATAGAAAGGAAATATATGGGAGAGGGAGAGATGAAAAAGGGCGGAGGAAGGACAAATAAAAAAAACTTAGAAAAACTAATTTCAGAAATAATTCTTTTCGATTAACTATAGAGCAAAATGACTTTATATAAAATATATTCGACTCTGAAAGAACAATGTCTACAATCACTACTGAGTTATAACAATACTTCTTGTTCTCATAAAAAACAAACAATGCGCACACACTCTAGGGGTGGGCATTTTATCTGACCCACCAGACAAACCTGTCTGATCCAACCCAAGCCGTCTGGTTTGGCTTTCTGTATTGTAGCGAGTTGAATCGAATCAATACCTTTTCAACCCACAAAGGTCTACTCATTGCTGGATTAGGTCATTTTAATACCCAAAATAACAAACTTGAAACAACATTACATCAACTCGAAACAGCATTATATGATTTTGAAAAAAGTCAATCATTGTGATTGATAGGAATGGAACCTAGGACTTGTTCAGTCTTAGGATGCTGATTGCCCAACTCATCTACGCTGAGTTTGGTGTTAAGAGCATGCCTCTGTTATATTTCACTTAGAGGACCTTTCACTCATTTGTCTTCTGCACAACAAAGTTTCTTGCAATGTGTTGTTGGGCGGTGTTTGGTGTCAAAAGCATGCCTAAGTTATATTTCACCTATAGGAGCTTTTACTTGTCTGTCTTCTGCCCAACGAAGTTTCTTGCAATTTCTTGTTGGGCTTTTATGGGCTCTTGGACCTATTAAGTTATTCTTTTTGAACCTATATTTTTTTTAAAGTCTATATTATAAACTGATGTGCTACCCAACCTGACCTGGCGACCTGTTTTTATTGGGCAGGGTTGGCTTGGCTAATTTTGAATCAGTTTCAGATGGGACTCCAACTGAACAGAGCTCACTCCTATGCATGAAAATATATATTGCAAATTCATAGAACACCCTACACTGATGTCTCGGAACATGCATGATACAAATGGTTGGATATAGTAAGAGAGAAAAATCAACAATCCTCATAAGTATCCTTGTATAGAGAGGCATGTTGTACTGTACTAACCTTGTCAAGCCATATGTCAACAAGACAAAGAAGTACATTTTCCTCAGTTGGGATACCCGAACTCTGAAGGAGCAACAAAAGTGATGGTTCTGATGTCAAATGGGCTAGGTAATTGGTATTCATGACCAAAATTCTTGCCAGGATGGCAGCTGAAGATGCTTTAACAGCTGTCTTAGAAGGATCTTGGTCGTCGCCTCCACTCAAACATATAACAATTAATTTCTAGCAACATTGAACAGAAAAGAATTCTAGCTTTAAGAAGGGCTCTCAAAGGCATAACATTATATAATTTCTTTCTTGGGGAAAAAAAAAATGAAATACTTCAAAATAAGATTATCAAAGATCTAAGAGCAAAGGACCTCACTTGTAATGTACTGCTGATCAATTGGGGCACTTCTAACGGGAAACACTGCAAAGCAACAAAAACGAGTTGGTATTTAAAAGGATGAATATATTGAGGTCCATCATAATAGTGCCGGTTCTAAGAGCATAAAAGATTATTTGTTTATGCAATCTATAGAAAAATGTGTCTATAACATAATAACTCGAAATTCTGTACAAGTTGAAAGCTTTGGCTGTTCCAACTTTCGCAGTGTTTAGGAGTAGGCGAAGCATGTAGTAATAGGACAATTACAAAGGCGTAGTTGATTCCCCGAGTTGTCTAAATGGCCTGTTATTCTACTGTCTAATCTTCACTTGCAAGTTTTGATCAGTACCTGTATTAGAATATCAATGAGAGGAAGAGTTGAAAGTAGTCCTCTATCATTGACATTTCCAACAACCAGATCTAGAATTTGAGCAACACTTGAAGCATGTATACTTAGAAATTCAGATCCGCCTAAGATAATGTAATCCTCAGTTATATTGACAGCAACCTGCAATGAAGTTTGAGTTAAGATATTATAAAGTACAAACATAACAAAGCATAACAGAATAAATGCCAAGAAAAAGAGGGGGAGAGAGAGAAGAAAAACTTCTAACATATAAATTTTTTGGGAAAAGATTGGAGCAAACAAAAGCCAAGAAATGAAGATAATGCAGCTATAATTACATTGAAATCTCTACAACTAATTGAGCAACAGATTTTCCCATAATATGCAACTGAAGAGAAGACAGCTACTCAAATAGGACTCCTGTATAGTTAGCAAGATATTTTTCTTTTTTGTTTGAAAAGGAGAAATTATATTTCATAAAAAACACCACACAGAAATTTCGACAAGTAATCCACCAATAACAGAAAGAAACAGAAAACTAATACAGAGATCTACAACTATGTGAAAAAACCAATCCTAATACTTGGTTTGCAAAAGTAATGTGGTTTAGATTCAGTTTGAGTATTACTTAGTAAAACAAGTTATTAATAACATGGAGATCAAAAATTAGCATTGAACAAATGGAGAACAGCAGCCCTTACCAGCATTGTAAACATAGAAAAGTCATTTTAATTTAAATATAATCCACCTCAAGAAAAAAGGTCAGAGATACATCTTTGCAATTCACAAAATAACATAATCAATATTGGACTACACTGATGGAAACAATGTCAAATATCTTGTCATCAGAATATCCATTAAACCCTGCTTCACGTTATTCTTCAAGAAAACTGTTCTACCAACTTTGCTTATGCTTTTCCTGAAGGTGTCCTATGCTTGGCAAATATGATATGGTCCTTAGATTCCAATCAAATGGAAATTTCAAAAGTGGAGTATCTCTATTTCCAGTTCTGTTATACAGGGCAGCAATAAGAGCATCTCCAAAGGAGATGTCAAATTGCCATGTGGACTAAATGACAAGAATTGAAGGGAAAAATTGCTCCAACAGAGTAATTTTGGTTTTACCCTCATCTCCATGTATTACAATATGTTTCCAGTCAAAAAATCATAACCATGTACAACAATTCCCAAGTAATAGGAGGGATAGGAGCAGGAAATTTGATTAAGAGGAATGTAGCTTTGGTAAGCAAGCAGTTGAAGAGATTTCTAAAGATGTGAAATCGCTTGACCTATTTCCAAAGTTGTTTGATAAAATGATGAATGAAAATAACATACATGATAACATAGTCAATAAAACCAGATTTTGGATGCAGTATTGGTGGCAAACGAAGTCATTGAGGAGACCAAAAAGCTTAATAAATCTGGGCTAGTCTTCAAAATTTACTTTGAGAAGGCTTATGACCACGTAGAGTAGATTTTCTTAGATGAAGTTCTGGCCAGAAAAGGATTCGGATCAAGATGGAGAAAGCGGGTGAGAGGGTGCTTAGATTCTGTTAATTTCTCAATCATGATAAATGGGAAGCCACGAGGAAAATTTAAGGATTCTAGAGGGGTGAGGCAAGGAGATCCATTATCGTCTTTTCTGTTCACTGTGGTGATTGATGTGCTGAGCTGCCTTTTGGAAGCAGCACAACATCATAATTTGATCCACAGTCTATTCATAGGACGTGATTGAGTTGAGGTGTCTCATCTACAATTTGCAGATGACACCATCTTCTTTCTGGATGACAAGGAGGAGTATTGGTTTAACCTTCTCAACCTGCTCGATAACTTTTGTTTGGCTTCTGGTATGAAAATTAATAACTCTAAATCTTCAGTATTGGGAATTAACTGTAGCGGACCTTATTTGGCAAGGTTGGCTGCTGATTGGGGATGCGAGGGAGGAAACTGGCCTATGACTTATCTGGGACTCCCTCTCGGTGGAAATCCTAGAGCTATTGTTTTCTGGGAACCGATGATAGAGCAGATTGAAACAAGACTTCAAAAATGGAAAAAAGCCTTCCTATCAAAAGGTGGACGATTAACTCTGATTCAGGCAGTGTTAAGTAACATGCCTACATACTTCATGTCCCTTTTCAAGATGCCTAATCGGGTGATAAAAACGTTGGAGATGATTATGAGAAACTTTCTTTGGGAAGGTACGGAAGAAGGAAAGAGGGACCATCTGGTAAAGTGGGATATTGTGACCAAACCTACGCTGCAAGGCGGTTTGGATGCGAGGGCTTTGAAAGAAAAAAATAAAGCTTTGATGGCTAAATGGTTGTGGCAATTCCCGCTGGAGCCTCAGTCTTTGTGGAATAACATCATTAAAAGCAAATACGGGGTGTCTTTGAATGGTTGGGATGCTAATTCGGGTACTATTGGTTCCTCATGTAACCCTTGAAAGGACATCTCTTATGGGTACCAGACCTTTCATGAATGTTGTAGCTTGGTGGTCGGCAATGGAAATAGAGTGAGATTTTGGGAGGATTCATGGGTGAACGAAGGAGGGCTAAAGAATCTATTTCCTAGATTCTTTGCGCTGTCCACAAAACAACTACTAAGCATTTCACATTTTGTGGATATCAACTCCGTTCCAGTTAATTGGGATTTCGGGTTCAGAAGAAACCTGAAGTTTGTTGGATATCCTAGGGCATGTCAGATTATCTAGAGCTAGGTCGAATGGGAGAAGGTGGCTGCTTGATGAATCTGGCGTGTTCTCTTGCAAATCGTATTCGTCATATCTTCATTCTAATGGTTTAGTGGACACGTTTCCCCCGCACCCCCTTATCTGGAAAACCAGTTCTCCGCCTAAGGTTAAAGTTTTTCTTTGGTTGGTTACCCTTGGGTATGTGTGACATGATTCAAAGGAGACGTCCGAATATGTGTCTGACTCCCCATTGGTGTGTTCTTTGCAAGGGGCATAAGGAAAATGCAGATCATCTGTTCTTACACCGCCCCTTCTCTCTAAACCTGTGGTGGTCCTTAATAAGGGAGGTTAAGGCCGACTGGGTAATACCTAAGGATTGTTTCTCCCTAATCAGTTCTCGGTTGGATGCCCTTGGTAAGGGAAAGAAAGCCTTAATTTTATGGGGTTGTCTAGTGCATTCACTGCTCTGGAATATTTGGCTTGAGAGAAATAGGGCTTTCGATGATTACAGCAGTGGGAATGAGTTAGAGATTTGGGAGAGAGTCAAATTCTGGGCGGCACTATGGGCATCCGTCACAATGGCATTCAAGGATTATTCCTTCTCCTATATAGCGGGGATTTAGTAGCCACTGTGTTGTAATCTCTTTCTGTATTTCTATCTCTGGCTATAGCTTCATAGGTCTTAATGTTTTTTGTTCCCATTTGTGTACTTCCTTTGTTTTTCCGTTAATAAAATCGTTTTTCTAAAAAAAAAAATTGATATATTATTGACTTCTGAAATTATAGAAAAGAAAACACTGAAAACAAAGTAATTATACCAAGCAGGTGGTTATGAGATTCATCAGATTAAACAACGTCACTTGTTATAGAGTTGTGATTTATTTGATAATGTTAAACGGGTTGTGCTTAGTACATGGTTTCATGCTTGCTAAACAATGTCACTCGGTTGGATGCCTTTGTAAAACTGATTTTCTTGATAATATGATACAGCTGCCACGTTGCCTTAGTGATAGCCACACATCAACTTCATTAAACTGATAAGAATACATCACTCCCACATCTGAACTGCCACTATGCCGAAACTAAGAAACTAAGAAACTCAAGACATAACCCAAACTGATGTAGAACAGCCCGTAGGTTTTAGAGTAAACACTTAGCAATAGAACATAGAAGAATTAGGGATCGAAGAGATGAAGGGAAAGGGGAAGGAATCAGAGAGTTTAAAGTAAGGAAATTTATCATTAATCAAGTCTGCCTTATAAGATTACAAACTGCTCTATTGATAGAGACAAAACCATATTTAGTGTAGGAAAAGGAAGAGTAAACTTTAAGAAATAGGAAAACAAATTAACTGATAAGAGATTCTTCAACAACAAGGAATCCTTAACTGAATTAGGAAAACTAATCCAAATAGAATTAGGAAAACTATTCATATGCATTCTGCATCATTCTCCCCCACCGAAAAGAACTCGACACCTGCGAGTAAACAAAGATTAAGGATGACGATGATGTTGGTAAGTATGGATGATAGGAGGACGAGATGCAGCCAAATCAAGATCATGAAGAGCATCTTGATAACTGTGCAGAAGATTGGAATCCAACCGGCGAAATTCAGCTTCTGTAATCCAAGTATCCTCAGTAGCAGGCCTTCCAACCCAACGAACCAAATAACGGGTAGAACCGGTAGAAGGGATATGTGGCACTGGAGGAGGAATAGAACCCTGAACAACATCCATAGAAATAGGTGGAGAAAAGGTTCCCCGATAAGTTGATAAATCAGTAACCTTGAAAATGGGGCTTATATGCATATCTGCGGGCAACTCAACCAAGTCAGCATTGGAAATGCCAAAGGGCATAACAAGCCATTCATATAAACCATCGGGGGTTGTAAACGTGGTTTTCCACTCATCTCCTTCACAGATGCGGAATTGATGGTAGCCATTGCAAAGATCTATCATAGAAAACCATTGGGATCGAGTCAAGTCAGCCAACACATCCTCAAGTCACAGTATGGGGAAACGATACTTAACTGTAATTTTATTTATGGTGCGACTATCAACACACATTCACCGAGAACCATCCTTTTTGGGGGTAAGAGGAACTAGAACACAAGGGCTTAAACTATGACAAATAAAGCCATTATGCAGCAACCCCGGTATTTGTCGATTCAATTCCGCTCGCTCAGGCAGATTCATACTATAATGGGAAAGATTAGGAATTTGCGAACTAGGAATAAGGTCAATGGCATGCTGAATCTCTCATGGGTAGGATAACACAATAAAGTTGCTCATGACAAGGATTCAATTGAAGAGGAACAAGATATCTTTCAGTAACAGGTAACTTGGTTTAATCTACCCAGCCAACATGAAAAGGATGGGGATGTGGCTCGGTTTGAAGGTGAAGGTGATCGACCACAGTTTAGAGATAACATTCATCATGCTTCCCCCATCAATAACTAGTTGGTATGTATTGGTACCGCAAGGGACATAGGTTTGAAAGATACTTGTGCATTTCCATGAATCAGGAGGTGGAGGTGCAGATGCTAAATAAATATAACGCATAACACTCAATTGGTGAAACGCCTCCTCCACACAGCAATTATCAAGTTCTAAATCATAAATAGGTTCAAGGGGCTCCACATACACGTCCACACAAGAATCCTCATTGAAGGAACCAATGGTTAAAGTTCTATGCGGACAACGGGAGGCGGAGTGGCCCTTAGCGTAGCAACGATAGCATTCGATGTGAGCAGCCATGGGTGAGGCTAGTCCTTTTTCTGTTGCGGGTGCCGTAGGAGCAGGTGGACCGGCAACGCCATATGTGGAGCCAGGAGTACTACGATTTGGAGTATGAGTGAAAGAGTGCTCGAAATACCCGACATATCTACGTTGTGGGCGCAAAAAAGTTTCATCTTCCAATGCGTGGCGATATGCGTCTTCCAAAATATGTGGACTGAACCGACAGACTTCACGCTTAATATCGTCACGAAGACCATGGATAAAGCGAGACATAGTGATGTCGGGTTCTTCACGAATCCCCACACGTATCTTGTGTTCAATGAAACGTGTGGAATTCAGTGACGGTCAAACTTCCTTGTGAAAGGGTCCATAATTGATCATACAATTGATGGCAATAAAAGGTGGGAAGATATTGTTCGCGAAGCTTTAATTTCATCTCGTCCCAGAGTCACAAGCGGCTGTCCAAATTGATATAATTGCTGCTCCACGAAATTCCAATCTTGTCTAACGGTTCCCTGTAGCGTCGTCTTACCGATGCGAAGTTTATGAGCATCCATCAAGTTGTACCAGGCAAAATAATCTTCGATGGCTTGAACCCAATCACGAAATATCGTAGGATACCCACGACCATCAAAAGTAGGAGCGGTAGGCTTGATGCGGCGGATGACATCGTTGTCAAAATGGCGAGGGGGATGAGTGTATTGATCATGTGGAGCGGGTGGCATGGTAGGAGCTTGAGTAGTCACTGGAGGAGGGCCCATTGTGTGTTGGGTATAATGGGGCGGTGGCAAAGACCCAAAAGAAAATAGGGGCTCCAATGGAGCCTTAGGCGTATCGAGCGAAAGCCTAGTTGAGCTATGCGACATGCCGTATGGCATGGCCTTGAATTTTTGATCCACCGGTGAATTGGGCAAAAGGCCTCTTTTTGGCGGTGGCATAGATGAACTCGAGAGCACCGTTGAGGTAGAAGAAGGTTCAGCGTGTCCAGCCCGAAAGTGATTGATAAGCAACTGAACGGAGTCCTGGAGTTCGGTGATGGCAAGGTCGTCGTCACACGATGTGTGTGAGCCTGTACCAACTCGTCTTTGAGGTTGGTACTGAGTTTGGAGAGTTGGGTTTCCATGCCCACAATATCGTTAGAAACTTTGTCTGGAATGCATGAACTTATTCCGCAAGGCTGCCACGGTTTGGGGTGCCATGGCAGAGAGCAAACGCAAACGAAAGTGAGGGAAGGCTCAGATTACCAATTGATGTAGAACAGCCCGTAGGTTTTAGAGTAAACACTTAGCAATAGAATAGAGAAGAAATAAGAGATCGAGGAGAAGAATTAGGGATCGAAGAGACGAAGGGAAAGGGGAAGGAATCAGAGAGTTTAAAGTAAGGAAATTTATCATTAATCAAGTCTGCCTTATAAGATTACAAACTGCTCTATTTATAGAGACAAAACCCTATTTAGTGTAGGAAAAGGAAAAGGAAAAGTAAACTTTAAGAAATAGGAAAACAAATGAACTAATATGAGATTCTTCAACAAGAAGGAAACCTTAACTGAATTAGGAAAACTAATAATAGGAAAATTAATCCAAATAGAATTAGGAAAACTATTCATATGCATTCTGCATCACAAACTCCCCCTGATTTTGAAACCGAGGATAAGACCCATATATGAAGATAACCCAGAGAAGAAGAAGAACCCTTAGAAGAAGAAGGTCTGAAGAAGAAACCAAGAGAAGAAGACCTGGAGAAGATCTGATTAACTCCAGGAGTGGGGTGGGTGGGGTGGGGTCTTCATGTTCTTTAAAAGAAAACCAAAAAAAATAAAAATAAAAATCCCAGAGGGTCCTCAAGGTGTGTGTGGCTCAGCTTTTATCCAGAAGCATACGTCTTCCTCAATTAGGTGAGTGAGACGCCTTTGAAAACACTACTAAGAGATGTTGTCTTGTATGCTGTCTAGATGGTGGACAATGTCCACCACAACACACTATTTTGTAATTTATCGACTTTAATGGAGTCCTTGTTTCTCATAAAAGTTAAAAAGTTTTTTGATATGTTGATAATGCACAAACATGTAAACCTGCCTCTAAATTTTCAAAACCAATACAAATGGTTATTACTGTAACTAGTTAATTATAGAGCAACTAATACCAGTGTACCCCACACTATACTAACCATCCATGGGTTGGCAGATTGAGAGTGAAATTAAATGATAAAATAACACACAATATCAGACAAGTTCCAGAAAAATAATACCAGAAAATATACAGAACAGACAGGCCCTGCAGGATCAAAATTTCTAACCTGCAAATGATCGAAACTTCTTTCCATGATTTTTACTACACACGGGAAGTATGCTAGTAGTTGAGGCACCATCGAAGGAGCATGAGAAAGTGTGGCTTCCCATAACTGCACATTAAGCCAACTGCATTTAGCATGAAAATTACAATGATAATGTCAGCTGGTAAAATATTAAAGACAAACTTAAATAGGCAAACCAGCATGCTGTCCTCTAGAAGATTGAGTTCATCCGGGCTATCTATATCAATTCCCTTTTGCAGAATAGGCAGTAATATGTCATAGCAAATTGGCGACTGGAAGCCAAGTGCAACCACAAAGTTTCTCAAAGCAACAAGAAGTTGAATCTGCAGAAGACATTCACCGGAAGATTCCTCCCAAACCTTCGCAAAGAAACAAAAGAAAAAATTATCAAGTGTGTGTGTGTGTGTGAGGGAGGGAGAGAGGGAGGGAGAGAGAAATCAAAGCATTCTGCTTGCCTATCTGTTGTGTACTTTTAAACAACTAAGTTACTCAACAGTATCACATGTTTTTCCAAAATCAATTTTAAAAATCATTCCTTTCTAGTACATTAGGTACTGTGACATTTCGAACAGTAGAAGAAACAATAGAAGACTGAAGACAAAATAAATGTTCTCATACCTTCTGAAAAAATAGAATCAGCTTGTTTGCAAATGGCATAACTTCACTCATGTGTCCAATAAGAATAGAAATCAAGTTCAAAACCTGAACCTGAAAATAAAGGAAAGTGAATCGCAACTTTTGTTAAACCATGAGAAATATGTGAAAAAATGCATACTATAATTTCTTATCACAAATTATCAAGATTTTTCTTATGAAATTCAAACCTTTAAATAAAACAGGACCCTGCCACAACGTTTATGTTTTTTTTAAGAAACAAAATTTTATTGCATAAAACAATAAAATACAGTGGTGGCCGAGATGGCCACAAAAAGAAAACTATACAGAGATATAACAGCTAGATAAAACAAACTCCTAAACTTCTAGCAAAAGAAAACATGGAAAACTAGCGAATGGCTGCTTTCCAATCTAGCCAAATAATCCAAACAGATAAATCTCCTAGTCTGTAGAAATCGATGCCCATAGTGAAGACCATAATCTAACTTTCTCCCATAACTCCTCGCTTTCGCAATAAATATAGTCTTCAAAAATCAATCTAATTCTTTCCAACCTAAAAAAAAAAAGCCTATACAATGCATCCCCATAAAACCTTGGGTTTCTTCCCCTTTCTTGGATTTATGCTTGTCTGACATTTAGGGGCAAAGGCAGGAATTCGGTCTCCTTTGAATCAGGTCACAAGTGTTGACCTTCCCATGAGCCACAAACCAAGTACCGTTCACTTTGCAGGGGGAGAGAGTTTTGTTGGGTGGGGGGGAGAAGGGTTTTAGACTTTGAATTCAATCTGTATGGCTGGAACACGTCATCTACCTCATCGTTAAGCAGAAAACAACAGTAAGATTTGAAGGAATAATTCCCTGCAGCCTCAAGACGTCAATTTCTCATGTCAGCCCTTGAGCGGTGGATCTTGATATAAAAGATGATAACTCCCCTAACTCAACATCTCACATATTCCTTCGAAAACCAAAGTCCCAATTCAAAGGGTGCAGTAATAGAATTCAAAAGACTGGAAATATTCTTCTTGTGATATCTAGACAAATTATAAAGTTTGGAAAATAAGTTTTGCAAAGAGTTTTCTCCCAACCACACATCTTCCCAAAACTTAATTCTATCCCTTCTTTGCACCCCAAACTGACGACACCTTAAAAAAGAACTATAACCTTGATATATCTTTCCAAGGATTTCTACTTGAAGCTTTCATAACTATCTTGGTATCCCAGCCATTTTAGCTAAGCCCGTGCTTGCTTCTAATCACTCATGCCAAAGGGATTCTCTTTCAAGTGGAAATCGCCAAAGCCATTTCCCCAGCAATGCCTTATTTTTTACTAGCCGCCAATACCCAGACCTCCCTTCTCTTTTGGCCGAGAAACCACTTCCCATATAATAAGATGATCCTTCTTACCATCACCCACACCTGCTCAAAAGAAATTTCGAATCAGTCTTTCCAGTTTGCTAGCCACTCCTTTTGGAATCTTGAAAAGAGACAAAAAGTAGGTTGTAAAACTTCCGAGGACAGATTGAATCAAAGTCAATCTGCACCCTCTTGAAAGGAATGTTAATTTCCATCTTTGCAATATTTTCTCAACTTTTTGGATGACCGGATTCCAGAAAGTTTCGGCTCTTGGATTTTCTCCTATAGGAACTCCCTAATATTCAACGGGCCACAAACTTACTCTGCATCCCCACAAATTAACCAGTCTTTCTAATTTTCCTTCCTCCATATTAATTCCCATTGAAGAGCATTTGATCTTATTCAGTTTCAGACCTGATCTCCATTCCCAAGTTTCTAAACCTTGAAACCAAACGAGCCCTAATAGAGAAAGATCAATACTAAGGGCCTGTTTTGGTAACTTTCATTTGTAGTTTTCAGTACTTTTTTATATATTTTATAATAATGAAAGAGATCATGGAAAACATATGAGAGAAATAATAAAAACTACTATGGAAAATGATTGAAAAGGGCGAGCTGAATTTTCCTTGCAAAACTAAACTACAGTGGCTACTCTGCCACTGCAAAAGGAATAATAATAATAATAATAATAATAATAATAATAAAAAGGCAACAAACACCATTTTCATGGCATTTTGCAATCAAATACACAAAAAGCAACAGAGGAAATTACTTAAAAAATATTCAAAAAGGTTGCATCCAAGTGAAGCAGCAGAATATTTACCTTTGAGTCAAACTCCTGAACCTCCTCAATCAACTTAAAACATGACTCCCAACAGATAGGGAGAAGGTCAATGAATTCTCTTTCTGAAAAGCTAGCATCTTCAATATGCAAACACAGAGACCTACAGGCTGCCAACTAAAATAAGAAAAGCACACGCTTAAGTAATTAAACTAGGGACAGCAACCACATTTAGCAGCTTTTAATAACCTCAGAGCAATGAATGAAAAAAAAAATGAAGAGACAACATCTACATGAGAAAAATGTGCACACCCTAACAGATAGGTCCTTGTCCTGTAGCAATCTGATCAAAGCACAATAAACTGGCCTTTTTGTGTCCTCTTTAATCTGCCAATAAAATGAAAATTAAATTAAATTAAAATGACTCATTTTCCATATTTTAGTAGACACATGACAAATAAAATGGCTAACAGCTATCGAAAATGGCAAATAAATAAATCAAGGATCAGATGCCATAATAAATATCACAAGAGCAGATCCATTGATTCTTGCAAAGCTCCATATCCATCAAAAGAGCACTCAAGGAAGGTACAACCAGAGGACTCCACCCCTCTACCTCCAGAACTTATGCAACAGTTTACTAGCTATCATTAAGTCCTATATCTAGTTAATTTGATAGTGCAGAAATAAATATCAAGGGAAACAAAAGAAAACAAGTCCTAATAACAAATTAAAACTGGCATAACTTCATTATTATCTCCACAAATGTTTTTTATCCTAGAAAATTACTTAGGAAAAAGTATACATCCATATGGAAGGAAATGACAAGTTCATCACCAATATTATTTCCTTATTCAAAAGAGCAAACTGGACTTGATGGCACACACTTTGTCTGCAACATACATCAAATCTTCATTACGTCCGTACACTTCTTCCCTTTGAGATAGAGTGCAATTAACAGCACATCGCTTCTCTCTCCAACATTGAAAGATTTAGTCTTATATATAATGTTTCTAACTAGATATTTCCCCTAATCTATCCATTCCCTGAATGTGAAAGATTAAAGAATGGAAAATTAATACCATTGTGTTGGCACAAGAAAGTACGGTTAATTATGATACATAGATACGTATGTTTAATATTATATACAACATCCAGTGAGTATATTATGCTACCTCAGAAACCCATTGTCCCAATATTAGTGCAACTTTCCGATGGATGATACGCATATTTGGATGATCATTTGAGAGTTCAAGGGATAATGCACCATTAAACCTGCAATGGTAAAAGCAACCATGGAGTTATGTCCCAACAACTTGTGACTGCTATCAGGTCAAAAGTTCACTAACAGATATGTGACTGCTATTAGGTCAACTCATAGTCATAGTTATAGACCATAACAAACCAAAAGCAACCATGGAGTTATGTCCCAACAACTTCTACCTCTACCAGAATGTCAAGAATTTTGGCTTTTCTTTTCCTTTATTTTTCAAGCCTATATTGCATCCTTTCTTTTTCATACAGGAAACCCTATTTTGCAGCCTTATATTATCCTATAGCAAGTATGACTCTCAAACATGTTACGAGTGAAATATGCAACTGTCTAACAAAAGAGCACAAATATACAAAATGTAATCTCCATAAATCAAGGAAAAATAAGTAACTTGCCCTACCCTAAATCAATTTTCTCAAAATTTGTGGAAATAGAACCAAAAAAATTGCACACGTGCATACTTGAAGCCACAAACCCACCCTCCATACAAACAATACAGTATGCAAGTTGTAAGAAATAAATCAGTTTAACAAATCAACACAATAATATATATACCTCAACAATTCAATGGTACCTAAATTTGGATAACCTATACAAGACATATGAATAAATGAATGGATATCCGTGTAATGAATAGACATACCAATCTTTAAAGCTCAGATAATTTGAGAGCTCGTAGTAAACATATGCAGCAGCACCATAAGCAGCATCTTTAAGAAGCAACCCTGGGGTTATTTCAGTCACTGAAGTTGGGCAACCATTCATTGCCTCTTTAAGGATGGAAACCACAATAGGACCTAGGAGCTAAAATTGATAAATCAAGATCACATAAGCACAAATTTCTGAAACTTCAAATATAAAAAAAAAAAAAAAAAAAAAATTTAGAACTAATAATGTTTTGGTAAAACCATGTAAAAACGCAGAAATGCACAAACCTGGCTGTGGTTTTCAAACAGAACAATGTATAAAGCTTCAGCACATGGCCTTAATTTTTCTGTCCACTGAACCATATCCTGCTCATGATGGAAAGATTCAGGACTCTGGTACCACTCCTCCAAATCATTTGTTGATAGAACAAAATACCTGCAACATATTACCAAAATAAGTATCCAAAGAGCATATCTAATAATTTCCTTGTACCTTAAATAGAACCATAAGCTCTAAACCCAAATCCTTGCATCTCAGTGCCATTCTGGCTCTACCATGACTGTAATCAATTGAATCACTCTACTCTAAATGTAGGGAAGGCTTTGAAGCCACTCAAACAACGGAAGAAAAAAAAACTTGTACACTATTAAAAGAAGGCACACAATCACATCCAGGAGTCTTCCAAGATTCCCTCACACACCACATAGTGCCCACTTAAATACCCGGAACTCCCCATGGAAATGTTAGAGCACCATGACATTGAAGTTGTCATAGACAAACTAATTAGTAAGATATAAGTGAGGGTTTTTAACTGCAAAGGTCCCCGAACTTATACCCGAGTTTCATTTGGTCCTCCAACTTTTTTTAGTCAATTTGGTCATCCAGCTCTCTCCGTCGTGTTAATTGAGTCCTCCAGCACATTCCATCAATTTGGCTATCTATTTGAGGGGTGAAACTTCAATTTGAGCACAAGTATCTTCTAAAACGACCTACCCAGCTCTCTACTGCCCATTTCCCTCCATAATCCTTTAGACTTTCCACCAAATTGAAACCATGAACCCTAAAATCAAGTCTGGAGCTTGATCAAAGTATTGTAAGTTAAAGCTAATAAGCGCTTTAGCTTCAATCTTCAAAGCACGAGAGATAAATGAATGACATAGAACTCTCTCTCTCTCTCTCTCTCTCTCTCTCTCTCTTGTTGGGTTCTTTAAAATGGGTTTTGTCTATTAAGCAGATTCATATTCAATGGAAACCAAATAAAAAGAAAAAGAAGTTCTGCCTTGCTGAATTGGGATAGACAGGTGAAGTAGGTTTCAATTTTGGGGTAATTCCAAGAAATTATGGAGGGAAATGAGTAGTAGAGAGCTGGGTAGGTCGTTTTAGAAGATATTTGTGCCTAAAATAAAGGCTCAAATAGACAGCCAAATTGGAGGAATGTAACGGAAGGACCCAATTGGCACAACTGAGAGAGTTGGATTACCAAATTAACTATATAAAAAATGTAAAAACACCATATGTGAGTAAACAGATACCACATGCACATAAGAGTGAAGAGGTGCCACTGTACACTCAATCAATTACGTAAAGTACTAAAGACACATCTAAAATATTTAACTCACATAAATAAAAATAAAAAAACCAATTTATGACGCTAACATTTAGGACCCCCCTCCTCCTCTCTCTTTCTCCCTTTAATAACACATTAAGTAAAAACCAAGCAAGACAATGCCATAGCAACCAGATAAAGTGAAACAGAGGTTAGAATATCATTACCTTCTTATTAATATGTTACACAAGACCACTATACGTTCACTTGTCATAAGGGAAGTCAAGACACCACTGACTGCACCAGATATGTTTTTCTTCATTTGCTCCAGTGTAACCACATTTTCACCCATCACCCGACCAGTGAGACTTGGCTTGTACTCTTTACATTCCAATACACATTTAACCATTACCATACATTGAATCAGAAACTGCTCAAACGATAACACATCTGGTTCAGGCTCTGTTATCTTCTTTAAACAGAAATCGACTACAGTTGGAAGGACACATTTATCACTAAATGAGTAAGGATGCCTTCCTTGAATCGCAATTAAAACCTTCATCAGCTTGGTACATGCCCTCTTTAGGAAGTCCCAAAATTTAGGATGTCCCTTCTGAAAGGAAGAATCTGGAAAAACGCAACATTACATTTCTGGAAAATGTTGTTAAACAAAAACATATTTGCAACCATAACATACATATATGTATCCAAAGTAGTTATTGAAGGTGGCTTCAGCTTCCTTTCTACCCAAAAGATACTGTCATTAATTAGAAGGGAAAAACTGACACCTGTACAAGTCTGACTGACTAAATAACGCAAATTAATGGATCTTAAACACCAGTTCACAAACTGAGACCCTTAACGAACTTGGGAAAACAGAGACATTTGGAAAACATATGAAAGGTTTAAAGATTTTTGATGGAGAGAGAGAGAGAGAGAGAGAGAGAGAGAGAGTTCATATTATGATGAGGACATCTTTGTCAAACCCATTAGGGCTCACAAACAAAAGAGATGGAAGAGGAAATCATTTAATTCAGTCTTCAAATCCTGCAATTCTGGAGCAGCTTTCTTTTGTTGTTAGTTTCCTAGGTTCTCTAAGTTTTCCAGATTTCATTAGGATTTCTTTCCTAGAATAAGTTTAATTTCCTTTTCATTCTAGGGTTAGATTATTATAAATACCCCCTTATGTAATTCATTATGGAGATTTGAAATTTGAGATTTGAGTTATTGAGTAAAGTTTATTTTCCAGAGATTGGAATTCTTGGTGTGAAGCCAAGTACAGGTCTGAAGCCCCAGGAGTGATTCCAGACCTATCCTTATTCATTTAGGGCCGTTCAGTTAAGTTTTAAGGGGTTGTTTTCATTTTAATAGAACTAAAACACGGCAAGAACCTGTTCAGCGGGCCAAAAGCAGAAAACACTGAGAATGTTTTCATAAAATGAAAACAAGTTCACGTGTACTTGTAGAAAACAGAAAAAAGATGTTTGCATTCTCCCGGGAAACGCTCAAAACAGGGGAGGTTGAAAAAGAACAGTTGCTGCTGCTCACTGTCATCAATCTCTCGCTCAATCTTCTCTCCCCATCAGACCAAAAAACAAAAATCTTCTCTCCCCCTCGCTCACCCTTCTCTTCTCTCCCCCTTTCTTGACCCAACAGCTACTACAGGCCAATCAAACCACAAGCACCACAACAGACCAGCCACCTGCTAATCGCACCACCACCCAGTCAAACCCAATCGACCCAACCATCAATACCACCACCCACTAAGCAAACTGCCACAGCCGGGGGAGGGGGGGAGAGAGAGAGAGAGAGAGAGAGAGAGAGAGAGAGAAATCAGGCATTGGATGGGAAGGAAGAAGAAAAGAGAAAGGAGAGAAGAGGAAGAAAGAAAGGAGGAGAAAAAAGAAAAAGAAAGGGACAGTGTCGGCTGAAAAAATAGAAAAAATAAAAAATAAAAGAGATAAAGATAGTTTTAACGTTTAAAAAATTGTATAATTTTTTATTTGTTAAATTATACATTTTTTAAAATATCGTTTTAGAACATAAATTCACAAAAATACACTTGAAAAATAACTCACATATTATTATTCTCAAATTGTTCTACCAGACACGTTTTCATTCTTTTTGTTTTCTGAATCTGTTTTCTAATTAATCTACCAGACGCATTTTCAAATCCTGAAAATGCAAATTTGCTTTATTGTTTTCATTCTCTGAAAATATTCTAAAAAACCATTCTCCGAAAACGTTACCAAACGGGCCCTTAATTTTCTGTTTTCATTGTTTTCACTTCCGGTCAACTACCTAAATCTATAATTCACCCATATCCTACATCACATTATCCAGAAAAACCGTTACACAGCTTCTTCTCGACATAATTTATATAGAAACAATTTTGCTGAAAAATTACACAGGAGAGCAGATCTCACAGTATGGAAGAAATGACTGAATGGCATTCAAGAGCACAGGCGAGACCTCCTTCACTGGCCGAACCTCCTACAAAATACACACAGATGAATTATGAACGATAATTGTGTACCGCCATATTGATGAAAAGTGTTAGTGCAGCTGAGATAATGGTAAGACACCACCACCAATATTTTTTATCTTTTGTGTTTTGGTTGGGGGTGTTGGCTACCTGTACACATTTTGCATCACTTGGAAACCCTGAAACTACTAACTGGCGTATTATCTTTAAGCACAACAGCCATCGCTCACAAGTTAGAAAAAGCTCATCCTGATGTTGCTCAAATGTATTTAAGTTGTAGCTTTCAGAAAGAGTAGAAAAACCATGCAAAATTGTTTGCACATCGCTCTGCCAAAGGTGCCAGCTATAATCAAAGAAATGAGATGATATCTGCAAAAAAAAAAATCCATAGGTATACAAGTAAAACACCACCTTCATAATAAGTAATATATCTGTGTGTGCAGACTTTAAGGACCTTTCTTTTGCCAATACCTGACAATATCTGTAAAGCTTCAAAATTCACTACAAAGAAACAAATGAAATTAACAGGCAGTTGCCGTCCTAAATTAATTGACTTCGAGTCCATCCTCATGAGGAAGCTCAACTTCAGTAGTCATCCCCATCACCAGGGGCTTGGAAATCAAGAGTCTTGATTCAAAACCAGATTTGGCAGAAACAGTGTAGAGCATGAGGTTCAAGATCCTCACTGCCCACACACCCCCCTTCAAAACAAAAGATTGTGGTGCCCACTAATTTTCCAACAGCAAAAACATCTCTCTACTCTACAACAGGTGTGCAGCTCTGGTTTGCTGCTTAAGTATGTGGCTATCAGAAAGCTAGGCTTCATAAGTTGTCCAACAACAGAAAATAAATAATAAGGTTCATGACGACAAATTAAATTGCATGACCCCATATATATACACACACATATTTAACATATGTGTATTTTATTAATTATAATGATACATATCCGAAAGGCTTACGCCTTGACTCAACGACACGCCTTGGACAACACTGCTCCACGCTACACCTAATAAAGCTCAGAAATCGAGTCAATCAGGAGCTTCTTCAACAAATGACCTTTGAACTCAATAGTAAGAGAGAAAAAAGATGTTTTTAGTCATTCTGAAATTTCTTAGAAATTTTAATGGGTAACTTATCACACTTCACGAGAGCATACATCCAGACTATAAAAAAAGTCCATGCCACAGGGGCTGTCCGCATTTATGAGCCTTGTGCTCCTTTACAATTAAGGCAACAGATTAACACTACACATTGCCTGCTCAGAGACTAAAACAAATTAACCAGATTAACAGAGAATTAAAATCTCAATTAGAAAAAACTGGTCCTTAAAAGATATGATTGGCAGCTCAAGGAATATTTTACTGTTGCACAAGAATGAAAACCACAAAATGATATCTATGTTTACCTATTACAGGAATGAAAACTCAAAAAAGGGATATCTAGCTTAATCCCACACATAAATAACCTTTTAATGCCATACGGAAGACACATTTAGAAACCCAAGCCTCCTTATCCACCCCAATAAGGTTTTAACACCAATACCCGACCACACCTCAACACATTGTTGATTTCATAATACAATAATTCGAGAAAATGGAAGACATCCTGTGTTGTAGAAAAATAGAGGAAATAGTAACAGTAGCCTATACCTCTGCGAAGTTCTTTTGGTCTGAGATAAGTCGCTTAGTGGACAATTCCTTCAAAGTTCGAAAGAGAGTCAAAAAAATCCTGTGGGAAGAAAGAACATCTGTTGATTGAAGCTTCTGTGCTAAAACAGAAAAGAGCTCTGGCCTGAACATGTCATTAGGTTGATAGATCAGTACAAGTTTTACACTTGATATAGGAACATTCAAAATATGTCAGGGGACTGAGGTTTGGAACCCAACATTCAACAATAAACATATCATTTGCACATGCGCAAACTCAGCAAAGAAGAAAAAAAAGGCATGTGGAGTTTGCAAGTCTTGATAAGAACAAATCAAACTAAACAAGCCATGCTCACTTCTAAAGTATTTCATAATCCAGCCATCTGCTTATCCTACAATTACTAAGAAATTGTCTGCAATGTGAACACGAGCTTCTTAAACTATATGACAAATTCATATATTTCCTCATTCAGTTCTCTCTAGGGTAATTTTTCTTTCAAACTATAGGCAAAATATAGGATTCACGTCCAGTCTGACTTTCTGCAGCATCATACACCTTAGAATGTAGATCTTTATATCGTTCTCTTTTTTAAAAAAACAGAAAATTCATGCAAGGGTAATTCATGTAATTTGTGTCCCTAATCTTCTTTCTTTCCCTTAGTTCCCGTTTCTTCTAAGCAGTTGTTGAAAGAAATAATAACATCCCATTATCAAGTTCTTATAGCACCATAAAGCTCAACCAGATTATAAGTTTATAACTTTCCTGCAAGGTCTATTTTTTAAAAAAACATAGAAGTTGAAGTTACAGTAAAATCATACCATTCTTTGGGGTAATCTATACGAGCAATTTTGGAAACGAGCACAGCCAACATTTGCGCTATCTGTGTTGGACAAAATGAAGAGAATGGGAAATTGGTAACAGCTAAAGTTGAGTAAACTTCTTAGTTATAATATGCTGAAACATAGAGAGGAGGGGCAGGTGAGGGAAGTGGAAGAGAGACAGAGAGCTCATATCTTATTATCATCAACCGTATTAAAAGTAAATGCAAACAGAATTTCCTTCATCAATTCCTGAACATCTAAATCCCTAAAAACTAAATTACCCCATCTCCTATCAAAGAGGTGAAGTTTTAAACCCTTAGGGTTAGCCCAAGTGGTGAGTAGTGGGGAAATGGGTTAGAGGTAGGAGAGGTCAAATGGTTCAATTCCTTCCAGTGTAAAATTGAAAAATTAAAAAGAGGTGAAAATTTAACTTAAATGATGGGCAATTAACGAATAAAAAAGAACTCAAAAAAAGTTAAAATGGTAGCATACTGTTTTCTAATGCCAGTATTGTTGGGTGTGGCACTAATCTTCCTGAAGGATCTTTATGAAGATAATGAACTCATTCCTTGAATCCATTTAGGATATCTTCAAATTTTATTTTTTTCAATAGGAAATAAAAAAAATTTAATAAGAAGAAGAAGAGATATAAGACAAGAAGGACAAAAGTGAAGCTGGTGTATACCAACCCTACAATTACAAACACAAAAAGAAAAGGCGGGTTTTACCTGATAGTTCTCTTCTCTAAAGTGTGATAAAAGTTTTTGTCTAAGATGTATTTTCTCCTCGTTGCTGATTCCCCTGAAAACACACAGAGAAAACAATAGAAAGCGAACACAGATAGCAATATGAGTGAACTGAAGTAGGCAATCGTGTTTACTAATGAAATAGATGATTAATACACTTACGAGGAATCACGCCTGTGCCTCCAATAGCGATTAACACTATTCTTGAAATACACTGAAGCCATCAAGCGAACATCTACACGCGGTACCAAATCCTTGGCAGTTATGACTTCCTGCATAATTTTCTATTTTCAGAAATGTCCACGAACAAGATCGCATTCCGCATTTGACCTAAAACCCTAAAGTAATACGACGGAGAAAGAAAACAGCTGCTTACCATGAGACAAGAGCAGAAACCAGGCCTGGCCTCCGACTGAGAGAGCGCCGCCTCTGCCGGTTTGCGCACACTATCGTCACCACTCAATGAGTTGGTCAGCAGAGAGAACATGGCTGGTAGGTCAGACGCGGAGAGCGCCATTGCTTTACACCTCTCCCTCTCTCTGACTCTCCTGGTTAAGCAATTTTTTGCTACACCCACTTAAGCAATCGATGAGGAATTTTTTTTGTTTTTTGGTACCATTTTTTTGCGGGTTGGGGCCGGGGGCTTGGTTTACCTTTTTTTTTTTTTTTTTTTTTTTTTTTTTTTTTTCTCTCTCTCTCTCTCTCTCTTTTCATCCAAACTCCAAAAACTCTTTTGTGTGCTCAATCTCTAATTCAAATTCTTAGGCCCGTCTGGTAACGTTTTCGGAGAATATTTTCAGAAAATAAAAACAAGAAAATAAATTTGCATTTTCAGAAAATGAAAATGCGTCTGGTAAATTAATTAGAAAACATCTTTAGAAAATAAAAATAATGAAAACGTGTCTGGTAGTACAATTGTTTTTCAGGTGTATTTTTGCTAATTTCAGTTCTAAATTTTTTTAGTTATGATATTTTTAGAGGCTAAAATTATTATAAACAATGAAAAAAATTTAAGCTCAAAAACTATCTTTATCTCCTTTTTTTTTTCTTTTTTTTTTTTCTCCTTTTCTCTCTTTCCTCCTTTTTTCTTCTTCTTTTCCTTCGCATGGCTGCTTCTTTTTTCTCTTTTTCTTCCTCTTTCCTACTTTCTTCCCATTTTCTTCTTCCTTTCCTTCCCCATGCCGTCTCCAGCTCCTAACTCCCACCTCCCAACTCCCGTTCAACTCAAACCTTGTCCCTCTCGCTCGCTCTCTCTCTCTCTCTCTCTCTCTCTCTCTCTCGATCCACTAATTAATGGTTGTGATGTTTGATTGGGTGATGATGGTGGTTGAGTTGGGTATGTGGTGGTTCTTCTTCTTGTCTCTGTTTTTTTTTTCTTCTTCTTCCTCTGTATTTTTTTTTTCTTAATTTGCAGATCTGTTTATTTTGGGTCGGAGAAGATGGGTGTTGTTCCTGTTGTTAGGTTTATCGGTTGTCAAGAGAGAGAGCTAGAGTTGTTGATGAGATACATTCTTGTGTCTTCGGAAAACACTGAAAATGAAATCATTGAAAACAACTTTTTTTCATTTTCAACTTTTGTTCACAAAGTCAGATTTGTTTTCAGAAAACGTTTTGTGAGGGAAAACGAAAAAGATGCACCGAACGTGTTTTTGTGAAAAACAGGAAACAAAAAAAGAAAACAGGCCCTAAAAACATTAGGGCCCGTCTGGTAACGTTTTCGGAGAGTGTTTTCTGAGAATATTTTAAGAGAATGAAAACAAGAAAATAAATTTGCATTTTCAGGAAATAAAAATGCGTCTGGTAGATTAATTAGAAAACATCTTCAGAAAACAAAAACAATGAAAATGTGTAGTACAATTTGAAAATAATAATATGTGACTTATTTTCAATTGTATTTTTGCTAATTTCAGTTTTTTTACGGAACAGACAGGTGTTGTTGAATCAGTTTAGTTTTTTTGATTTATGTTTTTGCAGATCTTTTGTGTCCATTAGAATCCTCAATCTCTAATTTGAATGCTCATACTTTTGCCAATCAAATTGGACACTTCTAGGCCTTGATCTAGCCAACCCTAGCTCACGGAACAGACAGGTGTTGTTGAATCAGTTCAGTTTTTTTGATTCATGTTTTTGCAGATCTTTTGTGTCCATTAGAATCCTCAATCTCTAATTTGAATGCTCATACTTTTGCCAATCAAATTGGACACTCCTAAGCTTTGATCTAGCCAACCCTACCTCACAGAACAGACAGGTGATGTTGAAACGGTTCAGTTTTTTTGATTCATGTTTTTTGCAGATCTTTTGCGTCCATTAGAATCCTCAATCTCTAATTTGAATGCTCATACTTTTTCCAATCAAGATGGACAATCCTTGCCGCTGATCTAGCCACCCCTAGCTCACGGAACAGACAGGTGATGTTGAATCAGTTCGGTTTTTTTGATTCATGTTGTTGCAGATCTTTTGTGTTGATTAGAATCCTCAATCTCTAATTTGAATGCTCATACTTTTGCCAACCAAATTGGACACTCCTTGCCGCTGATCTAGCCAACCCTAGCTCACGGAACAGACAGGTGATGTTGAATCAGCTTAGTTTTTTTTATTGATGATTTTGCAGATCTTTTGTGTTCATTAGAATCCTCAATCTGTAATTTGAATTTTCATACTTTTGCCAATCAAATTGGACACTTCTAGGCATTGATATAGCCAATCCTAGCTCACGGAACAGACAGGTGTTGTTGAATCAGTTCAGTTTTTTTGATTCATGTTTTT